GTACAATGCAGTGGATTTTAGTCTATGCATGAGTTTTGCGACTAGCACCACAATCTATTTTAGGACATTTCTGTGCCCCCAAGAGAAACCCCAAACCTATTAGCATTCAGTCCCATGTACTCCCCACCCCAGTCCCACCTCAGCCCCAGGCAACCGTTCTTACTTTCTGTCTGTGGGTTGCCCATTCTGGACATTTGTGTAGATGGAGTCATGCTGTATGTGGCCTTTTGTGACTGGCTCCTTTACTTAGCATGATGTTTTTAGGGTTCACCCATGTTGTAGCATGTGTCAGTATTTCCTTTTTTTGTGGATGAATAATACTCTATTGTATGGATATACCACGGTTTGTGTATCCATCCATTAGTTGATGGCTATTTGGGTTGTTTCCATTTTTTTGACTGTTATGAATAATGCCACCGTGAACATTCATGTACAAGGTTTTTTTGTTTTTGTTTTTTTTAAGAGACGGGGTTTTGTTCTTTTGCCCAGGCTGGAGTACAGTGGCAAGATCATAGCTCACTGCAGCCTCAACCTCTTGGGCTCAAGTGATCCTCTTGCCTTAGCCTCCCAAGTAGCTGGGACTACAGGCGTGTGCCGCCATGCCTGGTTAATTTTTAAATATTTTTTTTTTTTTTTTTGTAGAGATGGGTCTTGCTATGTTGCTCAGTCTGGTCTTGAACTCCTCGGCTCAAGCAATCCTCCTGCCTTGGCCTCCCAGAGTGTTGGGATTATAAACATGAGCCACTGCAAGTCTTTGTGTGGACACAAGTTCTCATTTCTCTTGGGTGTATACCTAGGAGTGGAATTGCTGGGTCATATGGTAACTCCATGTTCAGCTTTTTGAGGAACTGCTGGGCTATTTTGCACCACTTTACATTCCCAACAAAGGTTAAGTTTGTGTGTCTCCATGTTGCACTTGAGAAAATGAGGCACAGGGAGGCCCTAACCTACACAAGGGGCCTGGGCTGCAGCCCAGTGCTGCAAACGTGTGTTGGAAGAGGCCTGGCCTCCAGGGTCTGCCTTTATAGCCGTGGGCATGGGGGCCTGTCCTCGATTGCCTGCACCGTGATGGTGACCCCCGTGTCCACAGTGTGCTAGGCTCTGTGCCGGCCTCAGCTCCATTTGCGGTGTCCATGCTCACAGCAGCCCTGGGAGGTGAGGACACTCACTCTCAGGGAAGCAACGGGCTTGCCCAGGCACACGGTTAGCCAGTGCCAGAGTGAGGGCTGGAAGCCAGGCCTGTGTGATTCCTCACCTTCCCAGCTCGAGGTCAGGTGATGTCAGAGCTGCCCCCAGCTCCAGCCCAGGAAGCAGGGAGGAGTCACTGCATTGCTATTTAAGCGAGCTTTTAGGAAGTGACCGTTTCCTGGGGCTAGAACATAGTGGATCTGAAACGGCCCCCAGAAGTAGAGTCTGTTTGTTTTCCGCACTGCCACGCCTCCGCCAGGCTCATTCCGGAGGCTGTCCTGTAGCCAGGCAGTGACGGCCGGAGCTGCGGGTGAGTCCAAACCGTGGCTCATCCACCTGTAGCATGCTGTGAGGATGGACGTGGGACGGCGTCCCGGGTGTTCCAAGCGAAGAAACAGGTTTCAGAGCAGCGTATTGTAGTGCAAGCCATTTGCAGAGAGAGAACTTTATACGAGAGGGCGAGGGCCCAGAGAGGGGGCGCTCAGCTTCCTTCATTCTCCAACCTTTTGTTCACACAAGTAAAAAGAGAGAGAACAGGAGCATGAACCCCCATGTCTTGTCATCCAGCTTCAGTGGTGAGCAACACTTGTCCTGTCTTTTTGTTTGTTCTTTTTTGAGACAGAGTCTTGCTCCGTCACCTGGGCTAGAGTGCTGTGGCGTCAGCCTCGTTCACAGCTACTTCAAACTCCTGGGCCCAGGTGATCCTCCTACCTCAGCTTCCTGAGTAGCTGGAACTGCAGGCATGCGCCGCCACCACGGGCCTGGCTAGTGTTTTTCTGTTTTTAGTAGAGACGGGGTCTCTCTCTTGCTTAGGCTGGTCTCGAACTCCTGACCTCAAGTGATCCTCCTACCTTGGCCTCCCAGAGTGCTAGGATTACAGGTGTGAGCCACCGCGCCTGGCCATTTGTCCAGTCTTATTTTCCCTCTTGCTTCTTTGTGGTCTCGTTTCACTTGGCCTTCTGTCCCAAGTGGCCTGTAAACTGGTGGTTAGGGCTTACTTTTCACTCCCACGGCCGTGTTCTGTGGGTTACTAGAGCCATGGAGTGCCTGTCTGGGTTCCTGGTGCTTAGGCGTGTCCCTCAGGAGTCAAAGACATCCTAAAATTGCCCATTGGAAGAAAGCCGGGAGGAACCAATGAGAAGATGACTGCAGGTGGAGACCAGTAGGGGACCTTGTGGTAGGGCTTGTCAGCCCTGGGTCCCTGGCTACTGTCTGGGTTGGGGTCGGAGCTTCTGGAGCCCAGCTCTGGGCAGGGTGTCCTGACAGCTTCCTTCCCCTCCCCAGTACCCTGTGCGTCCAGCCTCGATGACCTACGATGACATCCCACACCTCTCAGCCAAGATCAAGCCCAAGCAGCAGAAGGTGGGGCTGTCCTCTGATGGCATCGGTGTGGGTGGTGTTTAGGGTAGGAGCTGCTGGAGGTGAGGAGATGGGCCCTTTGGGGACTGGAAACCCAGAGAAGGGGTGAACAGAGAATTAGGAGAACCAGCAGCTCACAGGGCCTTGAAAAACTGAGGAAGGAAAGAGTTTCCAGAAAGAACAGGGGTGGGCAGCTGCAGAGAGGCCAGGGCAGCAGGAGGCTCAAGGTGATCTGGAGCCTGGGGTTGGGTTCCCGGGAGGACGCGGGGCTGACAGGAAGAGGGTATAGCGCCTAGACGGGGTGGGGTGACGGGGACAAGAATTGGAGTCGCACGCCCTATGCCCAGTGGTGGCTGCAGCTCCAGCCCCCTGTGGCTTCATGGAAGTGCTGTTCCAATATTGCCAGTTCTGCTGACGTTTCAAGGGAAGTTGGAAATAAGGGTTTTTATGAGAAAAGTCTTGATTTTTAAATATTGGCTCCTAATTTCAATCTTTGGGAGTGGAGTAGGGAATGAACAAGATTGCGTGGACATTTCTGTTGGAACCTCAGATGTGGACGGAAGTCCAGGGTCCCTTGGGGAGGGACATGTGTCAGTCCTGCTTCTGGGCAGAGGCCATCTTAGGAGGTGGCCACAGTGGGTCCATGGGTGGCCCCTGGGGAGCTGTGCCTTGGGGTCCTCATAGCTGGTGGGGGTGATTGGTGCCTCCAGGTAGAGCTTGAGATGGCCATCGATACCCTGAATCCCAACTATTGCCGCAGCAAAGGGGAGCAGATCGCGTTGAACGTGGATGGGGCCTGCGCCGACGAGACCAGCACGTACTCCTCGTGAGTCCCCGGCCGCAAGCCCTCTGTGCTCCTGCGTTCATGCAGGAGCCTTTGAAAGGCCTTACAGACGGTCATCCCTCCCACCCCACTGCTGGGCTCCCCACCAGCATCCCAGCCTTTGGGGTGCTAGGCCTGTGGTAGACCCCCACACCTTCCCCCCAACCTAGCTGGTCCTTGGAGCTCCCACATGCCCCTCGTCTCTTGGTCCACAAACAAGGCCATGGGTTTTCTCGTCCCTGGCTCCCCTCCCGAGGCAGTCGCGGGCTCCCCTGTGGCCTTGGTCCCTGGCCATTGCATCTCAGAAGTTGCCTGGGGTGGTATGGGCTGCACCCGCCAGGCCCTGGCTCTGCGGCTTCCATCCCATTGATGTTGGTTCTTTCTCTGCTCCCAGGAAGCTGATGGACAAGCAAACCTTCTGCTCTTCTCAGACCACCAGTAACACATCCCGTTACGCGGCTGCGCTCTACAGGCAAGGTACCCGGGGCTGGGCGTCCGGCAGGGAGGGAGAGAGGATGGGGCTGGGGCAGGAAGAGGCCTGAGCCAGCCTGGGTCCAGCTTCCACTTCCCCTGAACACTAGACACCTGCGGGGGCCAGGCAGGTGTGGAAATGACAGAAATTACAGATTGTCAGGACTGAAAGTGGCCACCTTCGGGGACTTTTGGCTGGACACTGCCCGACCCAATGGGGTTGGGGCTCCAAGGCCATTGTCCTCCCGGGACACAGATACATACACACAGCACAGCATAACTTTTGGGAGAGAATTTTGTTTTTACATACAAGGTACTTAGGACCCAGCACTTCCATTCCTAGGCGACATCTATCCAAGAGAAGTGAAAACATGTGTCCACACAGACATTTGTACACAGGTGTTCATAGTAACATTATTTGAGATGGTCAAAAAGTGGAAACAACCCAAATGTCCATCCACTGATCGATGGAGAAACAGAACGGCGCGTCCATGCAGTGGCACATTTGGCCATATAAAGGAAGGAAGCACTGACACATGCCGCCACGCGGATGAGGCTCGAGGACAGTGTGCTAAGTGAAAGAAGCCAGCTACACAGGACATGTCGTGGGATTCCATTTACAGTCACGCGCTGCACAGCGATGTTTCAGTCAGCGATAGACCACGTGCGACAGTGGTCCCGTACGGTGATGTGGTGCTGAAAAATTCCTGTCACCTAGTGATGTCTTGATGACCCAGACCTGTGTGGGCCCAGGCTAATGTGTCTGTCTGTGTCTTAGTTTTCAACAAAAAAGTGTAAAAAGTTAAAAAAAAAAAAAAAGTTTTTAAATAGAAAAAGACTTGTAGAATAAGGATATAAAGAAAGAATATTTTTTATCTTTTTGCCATGTTTGTACCATACCTTCTCTGGGTTTAGATACACAGGTACTTACCACTGTGTTACAGTTGCCCGCGGTACTGAGCACAGTCACGTGCTGTGCTGGTCTGTAGCCCGGGAGCGACAGGCTGTTCCACGTAGCCTGGGTGCGTAGTGGGCTCTACTATCTAGGTTTGTGCAAGTACATTTCGATGATGTTCCCATGATGACAGAATCGCCTAAGACTCATTTCTCAGAACGTATCCACATTATCAAGCGACATATGACTGTATATGAAATGTCTAGAATAGGCAAATCCACAGAGACAGAAGAAGGTTGATGTTTACCAGGGGACAGTAGAGTGGAGACTGACCTGTTCTTTTTGGGGTGATGAAAATGTTCTAAAATTGATTGTGGTGCTGATTGCACAACTCTGAATATATTAAAATATGTCGAATTGTACGTTTCTACAGGTGAGTTGCATGTGTCATATCTCAAAGCTGGTAAAAAGTACAAGGTGCTTAGTATTTAGAGTCCCTAAAACAATAAGTGAAACTAATTTGAACACCTAGGAACCAGAATAGAATCAAAAGTAGTATGTCCAGTAATTATAGTCTTACGTGTTGACCAGTATCTCAAAAATGTAATTCTTTAAAGCCACGTCCCTTGCAGCCAGGACCATAAGGAAAAGTCATAATCTTCATCAGAGACCGTGTAGACACTTCTGCGCTCAGCTCAAGCAGGGCTGCTGCTCCAGCACATTGGCACTAGCAGGCAGACTCCTCGACGGGCGGGTGGGATTTTGACAGGAAGAGGTGGAGGAGGAGAGGAGATCCAGGTATAGGGCAGGGGCAGTGAGGGTAGTTTGGCAGAGGCCTGGAACGGAAAGAGCAGGGCGTGTTTCTCTACCTCTATATATACACACACACATACATATATACACGTATACACACATACATATATATGTATACATATACCTATATATAAAAATATATATTTTATATATATGTACATTTATAGATTTTTTCTTTGAGACAGTGCCTTGCTCTGTCACCCAGGCTGGAGTGCCGCGGAATGCTCATAGCTCACTGCAGCCAGTGTAGGCAAGCAGCTGGGGGAGGAGAGTGAGGCCAGACTGGGAGGTGGCCCTGAAGGAAGCAGCTCTGAGCAGAAGAGTCCAGGTTCATGTGTGCGTTGTGTGCTTGCTGTGTCCAGCAGAGCCAGGTGGAGTTGGGACTGGCCCCCAGCCTGGTGGCCCCAGGGCTCTAGATGGGGGGCTGGGGCACGGGCGGGGGGTGATTTGGCAGTGCCTAGGCTTTCAGGGGACTTGGTGACTCCCTTGAGCTAAGCTAGGTGGCTCAGCTTCAGTTTCTAGAGTCACGTCCAAGCCCTTCTTCCTCCTCCAGGGGAGCTCCACCTGACACCTTTACATGGCATCCTGCAGCTGCGGCCCAGCTTCTCCTACCTGGACAAGGCAGACGCCAAGCACCGTGAGAGGGAGGCGGCCAATGAGGGTGAGCGCTGGGTCCCCAGCTCTGCCATCCGCCTGCCCGCATCTTGCCGGGATGGCTTGGTCGCAGGGAAAGTATTACAGGGCTGGAATTATACGATGCTTAGCAACATCTCTGGCTTCTGCCCACTATATGCCGGTAGAACCCAACCCCATAGTCATGACAACCAAAAAGTATTGCCAAATGCCCCCTGGGGGGCAAAACTGCCCCCCAGTTTAGACCCACTGACTTATGGAACTACCTCTTTCTGCAGGAGACTTCACAGGTACCCCTGCCTGAGGCCTCCCTGGTGGGTGGGGTTGAGACGGGGAGTCGGGGGTCCACTAGAGGCTGTAAGCAGTGGCTGTTTCTCTTGCAGCGGGGGACTCTTCGCAGGACGAGGCGGAAGAAGATGTTAAGCAGATCACGGTGAGCTCTGGCCCCGGGAGGGAAGAGGGTGCAGCGTGGGCAGCAGCAGAACCACTTTCGTAGCTCAGCTGCCCAGAGATGCAAGTGCCGGGAGAGTTATGCAGAAAGGGGGCAGGACAGATAGCAGTGCCCATCCTTTCTGAGCCTTCTTCTTGGACCACCTGAATTGTCACAGCTGTACACAGACAAAAGCCCTGGCTGTGTGTGATGGATGCTCCTTGGGCCCCCCTGGAGTTGCCTGGAACAGGAAGCCAAGGCCCAGGAGCCCCAGGTGACCTGCAGACACAGTCTCTGCCATGGGACCCATATCTTAACAGCCAAAGTGCCGTGTCAGTTGACTGATGATTCTGTCCTTACCATGGTGCCCAGAGGAACAGTTTCCATTTTTAATAGTTATTCTTGAATTTTAAAGATTATTTGAAGAATATTAACCTTCCAATTATGGTTTATAAAGTTTTCCCTATTTAAGCATAATTAGGTTAAAATGAGTAGCGTTTAAAGAAAGATGCTGTGTAGATAATGATGCAGATGGTACCCATGCATGACTAAAGTGCTCACATGTCCTCAAGGCCTGGGGAATGCTGGCATCGCTGATGTGGGCGTGGAGCTCAGGCCTTGGGGAGCTTGTCCTCTTCTCTCAGTAGCTTGTTGTGTGACCTTAGCAACTCCCTTCCCCTGTTGGGACTCACGGCCCTTGTTAGAAGCGGCATCCTTGCGCCCATGTGCGTTAAAGACCCTTTTGCTTTGGCACCCCTGGACTCTATAATACAGTGGAAGCCTCTGGGCAGGGCAGGCAAAAGCAAGAAAAAGCTGCTCCCTTGCTTGTGTGGGCAGCTCACAGATGGGGGTGGTTGGAACTGAATTGATTTTCTATGTATGTGTGTGTAGAGAGCGAGAGACAGTGCCTTGCTCTGTCACCCAGGCTGGAGTGCAGTGGAGTGATCATAGCTCACTGCAGCCTCAAACTCCTGGGCTCAAGCCATCCTCCTGCCTTGGCCTCCCAAGTAACTGGGACTATAGGTGTGCACCACCACTTCCAGCTAATTTTACTATTTTTTGTAGAGATGAGGTCTCATTGTGTTGCCCAGGCTGGTCTCGAACTCTTGGCCTCAAGCAATCCTCCTGCCTTGGCCTCCGAAAGTGCTGGGATTGCAGGTGTGGCTATTGCACCTGGCCTTTGGAACTGATTTAAGCGATCCTTGTTGGAAAGAAAGAGGGAGTAGAAAACCTCTACTATATAGGGTTCTCTGGTCTCCTCGCAGGGCCTGGGTCCCTGCAGGCAGCCCAGGAAGGGTCACAGGCCTGAGGGTGTGACTCTCCCCCAATCTCACCGCCAGGTGCGGTTTTCCCGGCCCGAGTCAGAGCAGGCCCGCCAGCGCCGCGTGCAGTCCTACGAGTTCCTCCAGAAGAAGCACGCGGAGGAGCCCTGGGTCCACCTGCACTACTATGGCCTCAGGGTGAGCTGGGCCCGATGGCGTCCTGGGGGAAAGCCCTGTCGCCCAGAAGTGTTACGGTGCGGACTCCTCGTCTCACTGTATGTCAGAGTCCTTCGCAGCCACTCGGTAATACCACAGGGAGAGGATTAAGTCCCGTGGGCAGTCCTTCATTCTAGCCATGCCACTTAGCCAGCATGTGCCCCGAGATGCAAGTCTGCTGTTCCCCGATTGGGGTTGAGGCCCTCTGGGGTCCCCTTGAGTGTGGGACTTTGCGGGGCTTGCAGTGGGGCTGGTGTTTGGTTACATACATTTCAGGCAGCATTGGCCGGAACACAGGCCAGACACTATCTGGTGCTGGAGGATCAGCCATCTGGAGGATGCTCCAAAGTTGCTATACTCGGTTTCCATCTCATGTGTTGACTTGAGAACCTAATCCTTGAAACTGTGTATCAAGTGAGGGAAGCAATTGAATGTTAACTCCCAAAGACACCAGGGGCTAGGGCTCCCTAGTGGTTTTTGGAGGAAGGAGCAACTCCTGATTTCTCTGGAACCTTGTGTTGGCAGAGCCTTAGACTCAGGGTCAGACTTCCAGACGCTCTGCTATTTCCTATTGTGTAACCTTGGGCAAGTTACCTAACCTCTCTGAGCCTCAGTTTCCTTATCTGTAAGATGGGAATCGTAATAATAGGACCTCTCACAGTTATTATGTTTCGAGGATGAGATATATGCAGCCATTGGAACACAGCCTGGCACATCCTAGGTGCTCGATGAATGTTAGCTGTTGTTTTAGTCATTGCCAGTAGTGCTCCTGCATTACAGCCAGGGCACTGAGGCCCTGGTGCTAGGGCCCGGCAGATCATAAAGCCAGGAAGGTAGGTGGCTGAGGCCACGTCAGAGGCCTTGGGTGCCATGCTCAGGAGGCTGGACGTGGTCCTGTGGCTGGCCTTGGTGCCGCACGGTGAGTGGCAGGAGTGGAAGGTTGAGGAGGCCTTGGGGGTGGCCGAGGCCTGGGGCATCAGCTGAGGCTCCTCCCACACCCTCCTCTCCCCCAACAGGACAGCCGCTCTGAGCACGAGCGCCAGTACCTGCTGTGCCCGGGCTCGAGTGGGGTGGAGAACACGGAGCTCGTCAAGTCACCCAGGTGGGATGGGCTGGGCCAGGGCCCCCAGGAGAAGGTCCCTCCAGGATGGGTCCTCCCTTGGGACTGTGGCCCTTTCTCTATCATGGGGGAGGGGCAGGGGGCCCCATTGTCCTCTGGAGGGGGCCAAGAAGATGAGCCTGGGAAGAGATGATCCCCTTGTTCTGTGGAGTGTTCATCTTGTGAGCTCGGGGCTGCTGGGGCCTCTGTGCCCCCTCCCCAGACCCTCACCCGGGGCTGCTGCTGAGGAGCTTCAGCCTGGATACAGCCCTTGGCTCTGACCCCTGCCCTCTCCCCGCAGTGAGTACCTCATGATGCTGATGCCGCCCAGCCAGGAGGAGGAGAAGTGAGTAGGGGGGGCCGGACTCCCCTCCCTCCCCTGGGCCAGCCTCCTCTAACCCGTCACCTTCACTTTCAACAGAGACAAGCCTGTGGCCCCCAGCAACGTCCTGTCCATGGCCCAGCTGCGCACCCTGCCCCTGGCCGATCAGATCAAGATCCTAATGAAGAACGGTGGGTGCCACCCTCTGCCCTCCCGGGGGCCCCACTTAAGCCTGGGGAAGTGGAGTCTGTGGGCCAGTCTGAGGACCAGGGGGCGAGGCCGGCGGCCCCTGCGGCCCAGAGTCTGCCCGGCTTTGCAGCTCCGTCCTTGTCTGGGAAGATGGCACATGACAGCCATGCAGGGGGCCCCCGCAGACGGGCTGAGGGCCCCTTTCCCGTCCTCGCCATCGCCTGCTGTGAGCTCGGGCAGGTCGCTAACCTTTCTGAGCTTTATTTATCTATAAAAAGAGACTAATGATAGTTCCTAGGGGCTGATGGGAGGAATCAGAGATGACAGAGCCTTGCATGTGAAGATGAACTAGGGGGGTTTTTTTTGGAGACGGTGTCTCGCTATTTTGCCCAGGCTGGCCTTGAACTCTCGGGCTCAAGCATGATCCTCTGGCGTCAGTGTGAATAGCTGGGACTACAGGCGTGCACCACCATGCCTGGCTAATTTTTTTTTTAAAGAGATTCTTGCTATGTTGTCCAGGCTGGTCTCAAACTCCAGGCTGGTCTCAAACTCCTGGCCTCAAGCAATCTTCCTACCTCAGCCTCCCGAGTAGCTGGGGACTGAGGCACAGCCACCACACCTGGCTGAACTAGAGTCACTTTAATAACAAAGTGCTTTCACTTGCGCTATACTGTGGCACCCTTGCCAGACTCGCACAGTAGGGACTGGTTTCCTTTTCTCAGAGGACTCTGAGGGCTGGAATCTTTAGGGAGCTTGTAGCTGGCGAGTAGCAGACCTGAGCCTTGAACTCAGAATGGAGTCCCAGGCTCTGGGCTCCTCTGAGGTGCCCCGTGAGGTCTCGGGGCCTGAGTCAAGAGGGGTGTGCCCTGCTGTGTCCGGGGCTACCAGGGTGCCAGGCCGCTGGGCTTCCTGCAGAGGACTGTGGACCTTCCCAGGCCCTGCCCAGTGCTCACTTGTGTTGGGGGCTCCAGTGGTTGGGGGTCAGCAGAACGGTGCTTAAGGGTACCAACTCTGCAGCCAGGTGCCCTGAGTTCAAATCCTGGCTCTGCCACTTCCTGGCCAAGTGATCATAGGTGAGGCCTGAGTAGTAACAGACCCCTCCTACTGAGGCACCCCTCAGTCTTCCTCAATGGGCACTTCCTCATAGGATCCTCGGAAGGATTCAGCGAGGTGCACAGTGCCCGGCAGGTAGTAAGCAGACAGTGAATGCCAGCTATTCCCCTTACGGGTGTTCTTACTATTGTTCACATGCTGGGGTTGTCACGTGACCTTGAAGCCATACAGATGTTTGGTGGGGGAGCAGGGAGGGCCAGGCCACCTTCCCTTGCCTGACATCTCCTGTGTCCTCCTCAGTGAAGGTCATGCCTTTTGCCAACTTGATGAGCCTCCTGGGCCCGTCCATCGACTCGGTGGCTGTTCTGCGTGGCATCCAGAAGGTAGCGATGTTAGTCCAAGGAAACTGGGTGGTGAAGAGGTAAGTTGCTCTGTAGCCTCTGAATGGAGCACTTAGTCCATTTCAGTTTAATGTCATCACGGATGTTTTAGGGTTAAATCTGCTGTACTTTCTGTTTGTCCTGCCTCTGTGCTTCCATTTTTTCCTGCTAACTTGGAAGTTATTCTCCCTTGGCTCATAAATTGGTTACCCTACAGCATTTGGCTTGGCTTCATGACTTACCCAGTTTAGTACTGATGGCCACTTTTTGCCTGCTTCCAAGATAGTTCAAAGATCTTAGAATATATTTATCCTCTTCCCCAGGCATATATGTGTTGCTGTATTTGTATATTTTAATTCCCTATTTTAAACTCCACAAGACATTGCTGTATCTGGTTGATCAGTATTGTTTCGATCTACTCGCATATTTACCTTTTTAATTCACTCATCATTCCTTTCTGGATCTCTGGGTTTCTATCTGGGATAATTTCCTTCTGCCTAAGAATGTAGTATTTTCTTTAATGCAAGTCTGCTGGTGATGAATTTCCTTGATTTTTGTTTCTCTGGAAATGTCTATTTCACCTTTGTTCTTGAAGGATATTTTTACCTAGTATAGAATTCTAGGTTGGCAGTTATTTTCCTTTCCACACGTTGGTATAATTTCACTGTATTCTGACTTCGTTGTTTTCTGTTGACGAGGCCATTGTCAGTTTAATTCCGTTCCTTTGAAGGTAGTCTCCCTTTGTTTCCGTCTGGCTGCTCTTAAGAATTTGTTTCGGCTTTTTAGTTTTATTAAGATGTTTCTTAGTGTGAATTTCTTTTTACATATTCTGCTGGGGTTCCTAGGCCTTAAATATGTAGCTCGGTGCCTGCTAGTGGTTTTTCTTCTCCTGTGATTTCTTCACTAGACATCAGTGTCAAGGGAGTGGAGACTGTTTCGACTTTCTGCTGTATCCCCAGTTCCCCATATAATGCCCAACACACAGTAGACCTTTGGTAAATACAGCGTGGCTCTGTTTATGCATACTTGAATTATGTTAATTCCACATGGTATTATAGAAAATACGTTATTATTAAGACACACTTGTTTAAGTAGTGTGGCGTAAGGTGAACAATCTGACAAAATGTGAATTGCTCCAAATTTTTTAAAAAAGTAATTCATTGCAGAAAGCTCATCATTTCAGCTGGCTGGCCAAATATTAATAAATTGCAAAGTGTATTCACGTTACTGCCACGTGGTGGCGCTCTTTCACCAGTGAACACGACCTTCAGTACCTTGCGGCTGTTGTCCTGACTTATGCTAGTTTTCCAGTATGGGAAGCCCTTTGCAGTGGCACGTCACTTGTTAAATGGAACCACCTGTATGTGTTTATGCCATGAATAAATGAAAGCTTGGAGGGGCTGTCTCATCACCCACCTGCCAGAAGTCTCGAAGCAAGGCAGCCAGGAGCTGGGGTTAGAGCTGAGCTCCATGGCTCCACCCTGGGCTCTGTGCCTGGTGCTGCACATGCCGCCCCTTTCTCAAGGCCTGGCCTGAGCCCGATTCTCCCTGAACGTGCAGGGGCCTGGGCCAGTATGCGGCTGGTGGGTTGAGAAGGGTTAGGAGGAAGAACTCTCAGGTGTGTGCTCACAGAGCAGGCTCCTGAGGGGAGGTGTCGGGGCTCAGGCCTGCACAGGCCCATGCTGGAAAGAGGCATGGCCCGGGCTGGGCTTCAGCTCAGAGTCTAGATGGCAGGCGGTGGCCGGGGCTAAGGACAGGGACTGACCTGCAACCCCCACCTTCACTGACAGTGACATCCTGTACCCCAAGGACTCGTCCAGCCCTCACAGTGGCGTGCCTGCCGAGGTGCTCTGCAGGGGCCGGGACTTTGTTGTAAGTACCTGGGGCGCTCTGGCCTCATGGGGGGTTTGGGAGGAGGACTGGGGACGGGGCAGGGCTTCCGAGGACCTGGGCTGAGTGGCAGCAGCAGTGCTCTAGCCGAGGGCAGGAGTGTGTGAGGAGGCAACGCTGTGGGGGCTCTGGACTCTCTGCCTGTCCCTCCCTTTCTCAGAATCCTGGAGTCTTGGGCACAACCTCTGAGTTCCTCTAGCTTGGGGGGTTGCAGAAGGGCTGCATTCTGGCCAACGAGCATGTTTCATTTGGCCTTCGTGGTGTTCTAAGGATAATGCCCTGGTTGTCATTTTCCACAAATCAAAATCATGATACAAACCAGATTTCTAGCTGTCGTGGATAATGGGACTGTGGCACCACTGGGGCCACATCCCTGCATGGCGCTGACCTTGTAGGGAGCCCACAGGCCCTGGTTCACCCCAGTTCTGGGTGCCTCCATGTCTCGAGTCCTTCCACGGCCCTGTCCCACCCACATCCAGAACTTAACCCCCACCTAAGACCTCTGAACTCTACTGGGACCCACACTGCCTTCCTTGGTGTCGCGCTTTGTGTTGCCTGAACTGTGTCTCCCGGGCACTGCCCGCGTGCCCCTCGGTGTGCCTGTGCGCCAGCCCGGTCGCACAGGGCAGCCCTCACATTGTTTGAAGAGCGTCTGAACAACACTAGCTCCTTTAGGCAGTTGGTGTCCAGGTGCCCAAGCAGTATATTTGTGTCTCTGGGGGACAGCACGTGGCCACCCCAGGCTCACCCACCCGAGCAGAGTGCCGTCGTCCCCACGGCCCCTGCCTGCTTCCCTCTGGCTGTGCTGTCAGAACTGGGGGCCTGGGAGAGGGTCTGGGTGCCCTCTGAGTTACCATAAGCGACAGTCAGTTGTCCTTTCCCCTGTGTCTCTGAGACATCCACTGTCATCTCTCCCAGGCACTTTCCGAAGCAACTGGTGGGGGGGGCGGGAGAGCTGCCGAGGCAGAGTGGGGGTTATAAGGGGCCGTGAGCTTCTGGAACGAAGAGCAGCCCCCACTGTGAAGTGCCACCTGTGCAGAGCCCGAGGGAGGGCTGGGGTGCAGCCTGGGCCAGAGAGGGCATTGCCCGCCCCAGGGAGCATTTGGGTCTAGGTGGCTGGGGTGGCCCAGCTGGAGAGAGCCCTGCAGCTGCTCTACAGAGGAGAAAACAGGCTCAGAGTCCCGAGTGATGACTGCCATATGCCTGGGAAGATTCCAGGCCGGGAGCCAGACCCGGCTCTGCGTGAGGTGCTGGCTCCCAGGAACTACTAGGTGGGTTTGGGGGACGGTCTTAGGAGCAGTCAGTCCATGGCTGCCTCCTGGAACATGCTGCTTTTCCCCTCAGATGTGGAAGTTCACACAGAGCCGCTGGGTGGTCAGGAAAGAGGTGGCAACGGTGACGAAAGTAAGTGCGTTGTGGTCTGAGGCCCAGGCCTGCTGCTGGAGGGGGCGGGGGCTCTGCCTCACCTCGGGCTCTCCCTCTGCCTCCTGCTCAGCTCTGCGCCGAGGATGTGAAGGACTTTCTGGAGCACATGGCTGTGGTGAGGATCAACAAAGGCTGGGAGTTCGTACTGCCTTACGACGGGGAGTTCATCAGGAAGCATCCGGACGTGGTCCAGCGGCAGCACATGCTGTGGACCGGCATCCAGGCCAAGTAGGTGCCTGCTGGAGCCTGCAGGGTGGGAGAGGGACAGCCCTATCTCCCGGGAGGAGCAGTTGGGCGGACCTGGGCAGTGAAGGCTGGTCGGGGTCCACCTGTACCACGCTGCTCCTCCACACAGGTGGACGTTGCTGGCTGATCCCAGAATCCTTTGAGCACAGGCCAAGACAGAACACAGCGCTGCCATGTTCTGAGGGGTTGTGGGGTGGGGGAAGCACTCAGGAGCAGAACACTGGTGGAGGACGGGTCGGCTTAGGGCCTGTGCGCTGCCGGGAGGGGCCCATGGGGGAAGAGGGGCCCATGGGGGAAGAGGGACCCCGTGGGGCTGGCTGTGCTCCATGCCTCTCCCGTCTTCAGGGACCAGCATGTGCTGGGGCTTGGGGGTGGGGGGTATGTTTTACTGTGTGGCAGATACTAGGGGACATGGTTTGAAGTTGAGAAAATTTACTCTTCTTTTCAGATTAGAGAAAGTCTATAATCTCGTAAAGGAATCCATGCCAAAGAAGCCAGATGGACAGTCAGGTGCGTGAGGGGCTTTGGGCTGGGCAGCCCCAACTGGGACGCTCAGGCCTGGACCAGGGACGCATGGCTCTTACTGTTCGCCACCCTTTCTGGGCCTTCTTCCCCGCAGCAGCACCTCAGGGGCCATGTCTGGGTTCTGGGCCCAAGACCTCGCCCTGTTGGGTAAACAGAAGATGGGGGCCCAGGAAGAGCTGGTGGCAGGAATGTGGCAGTAACCCATGTGCACTTGACTCTTGGGATGTGGGAATTTGATTTTTTTTCCTAGTTCTTTCTTCCCTCATCATTGGGTAACTCAGTTCCCTGAGTGAGGCGGTGGGGAAAGACAGGGCTGGGCCACCAGCTTCCATCCCCCCTGCTGGACCTTTGTCTTCGGGGGACCCTGTGCCTCCTGAGCAACACTGCCTCCTTTTCACAGGGCCTGCCCGGCTGGTCTCTGGGGACCAGCGGGTCCAAGTAGCCAAAACCAAGGCCCAGCAGAACCATGTGTTGCTGGAGCGGGAGCTGCAGCGGCGGAAGGAACAGATCCAGGCGTCCTCAGTCCTGCCCGGTGTGCGGATCAAAGAGGAGCCTGTGAGTGAAGAAGGAGAGGAAGAGGAAGAGCAGGAAGTGGAGGAGCCCATGGACACATCACCCGGTGGTGGCCTCAACAGCAGGCTGGCCAACGGGCTGCCTGCAGGGCGGGCAGCAGGCGGGGACAGCTTCAATGGGCACCCACCCCCAGGCTGTGCCAGCTCCCCTGTGGCCCGGGAACTGAGGGCGTTCGTGGAGGCCACCTTTCAGAGACAGTTTGTGCTCACCCTGAGCGAACTCAAGCGCCTCTTCAACCTGCACTTGGCCAGCCTGCCCCCCGGCCACACGCTCTTCAGCGGCATCTCGGACCGCATGCTGCAGGACACGGTGCTGGCCGCCGGCTGCAAGCAGATACTGGTGCCTGTAAGTACAGCCTGCACCTGCTGGGACAGGCAGAGAAAAGGAAGCCACCCTCAGGAGGGCACCTGGGCAGGCATGACCTTCTCTGGCACCAGGGAGCGGTGGGAAGCCTGCTCACCTCGGGAGAGGCCTGGGAAGCCAGCTCTCTGGAGGCTCTTGGGGCCACGGGAGGGCCAGCCTTGGAGTGAATCTCTGCGACGATGTTGGTTTTTGTAAGACTTTGGTAAGGGCTATTGTAAATGAGATGTCTGAAGGCCCTTCCCCACAGCCTGGACTATGGCAGGTTTCCCCTTCCTGGTGTCTAACCCCCTGATGGCATCATACCAGCTGGGCCACTGTTTGCAGTGATTTCACTTCTCTTATCATTTGATCCTTTTTGCCATCTGCAGATGAAGAAACTGAGGTTCTAAGAAGTGAAATGAACTTGTTTAAAGGTCACACACCTGGGAAGTGGCAGAGCTGGAATTTGAACCTCAGTGTAGTGTCTCCTTGAATCCTTTCTGCTTCACCCAGAGCCCGGGCCCTCCGCTTATGCCTGGGACCTGCTCTGTGGCCTTGAGCGGGGGTATAGCAAAGCACCCTGGGCTGCTGTTCTGTCCCTGATGGGGCCATGACGTGGGAGGTGTGTTGGAGGCTGTTTCCCTTCACTGAGGTGAAGAGCCAAGCTGCAGCCTGAGGGAGGCCGTTCTGGTTCCTTCCTCCCAGGTTTTGCCCAGACCTGGCAGCAGAGCGGGGTGAGGTAGGGCTATGGCTATCTCTTAACAAGGGAGTGCTGCCGTTTCTAGTGCCAAGGTCAGGAGAACCTGCAGCCTTGGGAGATGTTCTGAGGCCAAGGCCCATCCTCGTGTAAGTGAGGAACAGAAACTAGGACAAGAGGCCCTATGGATCCCAGGCTGCCTCGGGGGTGGAGGGGGGAGGGTCATCCCTGCTGCCCGGGGACCCCCTTGGTGAGGTCCTCTATAGAAGCTGCTGGGGTCTGGGGATCCTGCCTACCTCTCTCTCTGAGCTGGGCCAGGCAAGCGAAAGTACCTGCTTGATAGTGAGCTTGTTATGTTTAAAGCTCCACCTAGAGCTGTAACAGGTAGTAACTATAATTGTTATGTTATGGAACCCATCAGTCTGGGTGTCCCCTCCATCTGTCCCCTCCTCTCCAGGTACCCAGGCCTGTGCCACCCTTTTCCTGGTCTCCCTTTGGACAAAGTGGCATGGATTGCCTGGGAGTCAGGCAGTGCCTCTAACCCGTGCTGACACAGGCCTTGGGGGAGCCACTGAAAGGAACTCCCAGGGTGCCCCTAAGGAGTTAAGAGGGTTGACATCTTAGGGTGGGAGGACACTGGGTATTAAAGCAGAGTTGAGTTTGTGCCAGGCTCATGGGGAAAACAGGAAGAACTTGGCTTCCCCACTGTACCGAATACAACTGTGCATCTCACACTCCTCTCCCTAGAGCCCTCTAAGGCCCTGGGGCACAGTGGCTGCCTCCCCATGGTGTGATGAGGAAACGGATGGCAGGTTTTATGGCTGCCCAAAGCCCCCATGGCTGGGATTGGAACCTGTGTTTCTACAACAGGGCTGGTGCACATTGAGGGGGGTGAGGCAGGGAGGTGGACCCACATGGCACAACCAACTCATACATGGGCCTTGCTCAGTTTCCTCCACAGACTGCTGCTTCCCCGGATGAGCAGAAAGTGTTTGCCCTCTGGGAGTCTGGAGACATGAGTGACCAGGTGAGGTGATCTTTGCTGCCATCTTCCCCAAGACTGGGGGAGAGGATTCTGGGAGGGTTGAAGCTTTTGGGGAGATATGCACCTGGAGTGCAGTCGTGTAGGCATTTCAGATTTTCCAGCCACTCCTGATCTTAAACATTCTCCCTCTCTCTGCTGCCAAAATGGGCTGGTTCCATCAGAATCTTTTAAAAAATACATAGATTCTTTACTTTCCACAGGATCTGTTTGGAAAATGTGTATATGTATATATACACACACACATTATCCGGTTCCCTTCAGTAGGTACGGAGTAGTGTCTTAGGTGATTCTGGCGCCAGCAGGGCTTGCGAAGCACTGATGAGCTCCATTTCTCAGGTGGCCTCTGACAACGGGGCTCAAAAGGATGCCTTATCAGATCTCAGATCCTGGATTTTTAGGTTGAAGACACTGGTCACTTTGCCTCTCAGCACACCCTGGCAGGGAGGGTCACAGGTGACCAGTGAACAGAAATGTGAATTAAGCTAGCAGTGCTGTGTGGGTGTAGTGCAGAGTCAAGGACCCTGAGCTCCAGAGACTTCCTTAAATGGTGACCTCTCCTAAACTTTAAAGATTGGATTGTCGAGATGCCAGTCAGTCTTGTCCTCCTAAGGTGTGGTGAGAAAGGGAGTGAGAAGCCCGCCCGAGTTCTCTGTCCCCTTTACCTCTATGAGGGAGCTGACTGGTGGGCTGAGGATGTGAAGGGTGGGGCCTTTTGGCCAGAATAGAGACGTCTGGGTTTCCTATTCCTGACGTACTCTGATAACTAAAAAGAAAAAAAAAAAAAAGTAGTAAGTTTTAAAAAAAACACATAAGACTAAAAGCTTTATGGGGAAATTTGCCCTGACCTGACTCCCACTCCTCAGGAACGATCACTTTTTAAACTACCAGAAGATACCACTAAAAGTTACTGCCATTTTTAAAATTATTATCAATGGGCTTCCCATTGTGGCTGATGAGGATTTGGCTTTCAGCCATTGGGAGAATGTAGAGGGGTAGATAGGTATCTTATGCTTCTTTTTTTTAGCTAAATCAATTACAATGCTATAAACAGCGATAATTGAACAAACTGGAAATTTGTTCACTGTAGGGTCAGATGCTACTTCCTGTTTTTACTTGCATAATTTTCTGAACACACACATACCAGTGTTGATACCTTTCTTATGATAACTATTTTTTGCTGCTCCAGTGTGACTGGCTCTTCCTTCCCCGTGTCTGTTGCTGGCTTCTAGTCTTGGCTTCTTCCTTTATTTTAGCTTCTAAGGGGGCAGAAGAGCTAGCTGCATTGTTTCTTAAGATAGCTTTCTTTTGTCCTCATACATTATTGTTGGTCTGGCACTAGAACTTTAAGGGACATTTACTCTGAATTTAAGGTATTCTTCCATTCTATTACATTTTCAGAATTTTTTGTAGTTGAATGACATTCCTCTTCTTGGTTCTTTAAATTTGACCTCTATCTTTTCCTTTATCCCAAACTGATGAGTTTTTCATTATGTTAGTCAATTTCAGATGTGCCCTGTATATAGGTAGGTCATCAGACAATTGGGTTGTTCTTAGGAAATCCTACAAGTTAATAACTTCACCTTTTTTCTGTTCTTTCGGAATACTTATGTCAGATGTTGGACATACTAGATTCAATCTTTATCTTATATTTATTTGGGGGCATAATGCATTTTATGGCATCCTGTTTCATCGATGCAGTGGCATGTTTGTCAAGACTTTAAACCAGTTTTGACACTGTCTTCTCACTTCCATGCAGTTTAGATGTGGCTTCCCCTGCCTGCTAAATCAGCTGTCGCTGTGTTTTATCATGCAAAATATGTTTAAGCTGCTCATCCTCTGATGTCTCTTCACCAGGTCTTTTGTTCTGTGAGCATACAGCCTTTGTATATCAAGAGATGACAAATTGGCCAAACTTCCTCATCTTTAAAGAGATGGGGTCTCTATCGCGCAGGCTGGAGTGTAGTGGTGCCTTCATAGCTCACTGCAGCCTTGAACTCCTCCTGGGCTCAAGCGATCCTCCTGTGGGCAAGGAATTTTATCAAAGCCTGCAATGTGGGGTTAGGTCCACGGCTTTAGGTGTCTTGTTTGGGAATGTTTCTCTATTAGGTTATTGTTTCCCATAATAACATGTTTTTGCTACTAAAGCATCGACAGGTTTTGCTTGAGATTTTTTCCAAAAATTACCGGGTACGCAGAAACATGATCCAGTCTCGGCTAACTCAAGAGTGTGGAGAAGATCTAAGTAAACAGGAGGTGGATAAAGTGCTAAAGGTACATCCATTTTGTGCATGACAATACTCAAAGGCTTGGGCTTAAGAGCGAGGGTGTCCATGACTGGCTCTTACCTTTGTCTTGGGCAGCTGACAGTGTGTGGGGAGGATTCTAGTTTGATACCCCTCCTCTCACTGTGTATTAAATCAGGCTTCCTTGGGGCTCCTCCCCAGTCTTGTCTTCAGCAACTGGTAACGATCGGCATGGGTATGGGGGCACATGCGAGAGTACTGATCTCTTCAGACACTATAGTCTCATGGGTCACAGGCCTGGGTTACAGTCCTGATTCCACCCCCCTTTGAATTTTGGACTGTTCTCATGGTTGTTGCCATAGCCACATACTAACACTTGTACTACTTTCAGTAGAACAGTTTGAATTAGTTTATAAAGGAATACCATCTAAGTGATACTATTTATTAAGCACCTTTGTTCTGGCCAACTTCTTAACAGTATTTATATCTTGTGTTTATAGAGCACATTCATTTTATAGTCCCTCACTCTTAAAATATTTCTGAGGAAAGGGTAGCTGGTAGTTATGACAGCAGTGTGGTTAGGCAGTTCTTGATTTCCCATTTGTATTCTACCCATTAATAATCAAGTGTCGATATTCTGTGAAAATCTGTCCTTAACCTGCTTTTCTCTCACTCCATAGGATTGCTGTGTAAGCTATGGTGGCATGTGGTACCTTAAAGGGACAGTACAGTCTTGACAGTAGTAGCAGACCACTAACCCAAGGAATCCAAGCCCAAGGAAGAAGGGCAGAGCCAGAAGTAGAGTCTCGACTTGCTTCGGAAGACAACAGAGCAAGAGGAACTGACCAGCTCATGGCCTGTGGCACTGCATGGTCCAGTGGACAGAAGGGATCATACTTAGCCAGTGGCAGGGTCAGCTTAAGTTAGATCACTCCGGAGAGACCAGCTGGGACATTCTGTGCAGTACAATTTTTGAAAATCCTGATGTATTTTGCTTATTACTTGGTTTCATTCTCATAGTAAAGTGAGTGTACACTGACACAGGCAGGATGATGAAAATCATGGTTTAGTATTTTCCTTTTGAAACTTAGACCTTGTTGGCATTAAGTTATGTTTACAAGATGAGGGAAACCTCAAAGTTTCTAATATTTAAAATGCCTAGAAGACAATATTATCTATCTGCTAAGACCTCTGCCAATTTCATTAAACAAACCAAATTGAATTGTTTCACTGTTGGGTTTCTGTGGCCACTTTACCTTTTACAACAGTCTACATTATGTAGCAGTCTCAACTGTTTACATGAACCATAGCAAAAAAAATTAGAATCAAATCCATCTACTCTTAATGTTTGCACAAAGATGCAAACAAAACCAGGTAAGTATGGAACAATGTGTAAGTGAGGTTATCACTTTGATGTAAAAATTTCTATTTTGTGTATTTTTAAAATAAATAACAACACTGAAATGGCATGGTGCTATTGTCTGAGCTCGCAAAGCATTACATTTACTTAACAGGAAGGGAGAACTCCTCAGAGCAGTGCTGTCCAGTAGAAACGTGCTAGTCACATATATAAGATTTCTAGTAGCCATATTAAAATAGTAAAAAACAAGTTTTAGTATTTATTTAGCCCAAAATATCTAAAACATCAACATATCAAAAGTAGTTAAAAAAAAAAAAAAGTCTTCAAATCTGGCATTTTTACACATACAACACTCAATTTGGACTACCCGCAGTTTAAGTGCTCAGTTGCCATGTGTGGTTAGTGGCTATTGCATTGGACAGCATGGCCCTAAAGGAAGATGGGAAAAATAAGAGTAAACTGGGTTGGGTGAGATGTGAATTTTGGTACGTAATTAAGGCTTTTGCCATCATCTCTCATATAGTACAGTCACTGAAGGTTTAAATGATGGTCCACACTGTCTACCCACTCTCCAAAAAACAAAAACAAGTAACAGGGACATACTACCAAACACTTATTTGGCAAAGTTTTAACAGGTTGACTGTATATTATGCTCTTGTTTGTTGTTAACAGGCATAAACCTGGAAAGAGTAAACCAAAATTGATTTGGAGTATGTCTCAGCTATGACATACATTTCTTTCTCCCTTCGAAAGGGGAAACCCTCATGTGGCATAGCACAGAGAATGTCAGCACTACCACATAGAACTTCATGGGCTCAGTGGGGGAAGTTGGGGCCTTAAATACTTAAACAAAAAGGAATTAGTTAAAACACTAGATAGCAAGAAAAACTTAAGGGACATAAGAGGAAATTATTGTTAAATTGAGAGAGAACTTGGAATATTAGCAAGATGGTAGAATAGGACTTTGCAGCGCTTGTCCCCCTGCGGAAACATCAATTTGAACTATCCATGCACAAAAATAGCTTCGCAAGAGCTAAGGAAACCGTGTGAGAGATGATAGCCCCTGGGTGTGGCACAGAAATAAAATGCACTGAAGAGGGTAGGAAGGACTGTTTTACATTACCTGCATCAGCCCTTCCCCATCCTGAGGCAGCACAGCACAGGGAGAGATCCTCTGTATGGAGGAAGGAGGGAGAAGTGAGTATCAGACCCCAAAACAGGGACCACCCAAGTAAAACAGCCCCAGGCTTTACGCTTACCCCATGGGTCCAGACCAGCCTAGAACCAGGTTGGCCCACACAAGTCCCAGGCTCTAGGTCTGCTCCAGCACTAGGTCAGCACCCCTAGTGTCAGGCATCAGGAACAGGCTCCAAGCGTACCCAATGCCAGGCCTACCCCTGTGGCTCCACACTAGCAGACTGGGGGTGCTGGGTCATCTGAGTAAACCCCAACGCTGGGCCAGCACCCACGGCCCCCATGAACATAACCTCCAGTGTCCAGTATGTGCACACTCAGCCTCCAAGCTTCCCCTCTCCCTGCAGACCCAAGCTCCATGCCTGCCTTAGCAACTGACTAGCCCCTAGGCCCACCCAGTAGATCCCAATGCCAGGTAGGTCCTGGCAGATTGAGGCTCCAGGACAGTCCCTGTGGACCCAGGACCCAGGCTGTGGACCTAGGCTTCAGTCACACCCCCACAGACCAGTCAACTGGTCCACCCAGTAGATCTAGGTTCCAGGACTAACCCCATGGATGCAGGCACCTGGCTCATACCACTGCAGACCCAGGCTGACCTAGTGGTCAGCCTGCCTGAGGACTCCAGCAGCAATCCCAAGGATTCCCTGCTTAAAAGAAAATGGGAAAAATATCACTATCAAATCTTCCTACAGATACCTGTTAGAAATAAAAAAAAAAACAGATAGTTGAGTCTAACAGTGAAACAGTTTACACTTAAAATAACAAGCACTAGATCTATTTGTTCATTTTCATCAGCTTTATTTGGTTTTTAGAAAAATATATACATTAATCAGAACCTCAATTCTTAAATAGCTTTAAATTAAAAGTATGCAAGGGAGAGGATATTTCCACAGTCAGAACATCAATACTGCTTAATAAAGTAGTAACAGGAATTTCTACAGCAAGTCCAAAACACTGACAGGAATGGTAAAAATGAGGAAGAGCAGCTTGTGGCTGGCAAGTTAGCCAGCTCAGACAACACATAGGAGAGGAAGGGGTTCGAATTTGAGAAAGGGATTAAAGATTTACATATTTACCTATCCTAAAAGCTAGAGCTTTGAGTAAAAATATTTGAATGTGGGGGAGGAGGCCCTCTAGGGTGTATGCTAACAAGCTAACTTTGATCAAATCAAAGCTTGCCCCTTTCAATTTGGTATTCGGTTGGATTTAGATATATTAGGATTACCTGTCAGTCACAGTTCAAATGGTAGCAGATGTAACAAAGCTCAAGGGCTTCGAGCATTTGTTAATGCCATTTAGTTTGGATTAGACCCCTGCTTTCTCCTGAACATTCTTCTTGATGAATTCACAGTATCCAACAGTGTTTGCAAAAGAGATTTCAGTTTGGCAGCCCTCTGACTATATATAGTTGTGAGAAGTTGTGCAAGCAAGCAATAGGAATTGCCCTAGCTTTGTTCCAATTCTGCCCTTTCTCCCCATACTATGCTACCTCCAGGCCTACTTCTTCAGAAATACAGACCTTCCCTCCACTGGTTCTTCAGGAATCACAGCTGAATCAGTGCACCAGCCAGAGGCCAGTTTGTCATGGGATTTCCTGGGGAGCTTAAATGGAACCAGATTATAGAGTTGACACCGGTAGCCACCTCTGATCCTCACTGTATGCATTTACTAAACACCCAAAGGAGGCAGATGTCATGAGCAACATCAGGCTTTGGAGTCTGTGAACACTTGTCTGAATGGGAGAGGGAAGTGATGGGAAATAGGCAAGTTAGTAATAGAGCTAGAGGTTCATTTAAGAATGAGAGGAGAGTGATCGATACTTTGTTCTCTGTTCATCTATTTCCTGCTTAGTCTTCTTGATGCAACTAAAGATCTCCTTAAACAGCGCTTTGTATTCTGGAGGCGTCGTGGTGGTGGGGGAGCCGGCGGGCTCTGGGGTGACAGAGGCCAGTTCCCAGCCACCAGCGATGAGCTCCGACTGGGCGTTCCCTCCAGCCAGGTCCTTGGCTGGAGCCCTGGACGTCTGCACAGCCTTGTGTGACAGGGAGTCCTGCTCCTCCTGGCACTTCCTCAGTAGCTCCTCATACTTCACCTTCAGAGCACTATACTGAGTGTCCACTTCGTGCAGGAGGGAGATGCCCCTCTGCTTCACAGCCTTGGCCCTCCTGATGCAGGTCTCCTCGTGGCCCTTCACGATGTCACCCCCAGCCAAGCTGCTTAGGATTGTCTCACTGCTACTGCGCTTGAGAGGCTTTCTGTGTGCTTCCGGCACAGTCAGGAACATCTCCTCCAACAGGCTCTGGCTGGGCTCTTTGAAAGCAACAAAGAGAGAGTCTGGCACCAGCTTTTCAACCCCATTCACAAATGGGTGTTCTGACTGCAACAGCTGTCGCATCTCTGCCACCTCAGCCTCCAACTCCAGCGCCCGTGCGCGGTAGGCATCCGTGGCCCCCAGCTGCTGTTCCAGTTCACTGTTCTCTTTCAGCACCAGCCCGTACTCCTCCTCCATAGTCACCCGCTTCTGCCGCTCCAGGCTCAGCTGCGCCTGCAGCATTGTCACTGTTTTCTTCAAGTGCTCGTTTTCCTCCTCGTCAGGGCTTTGCTGACTTTGCAAGGACGTGATCTTCTCCGCGAACACGTGATCATACACAAAGTGTCTATGGAAAAGAATGTTGAAATAATATATTACACAGGCCAACTGAGAATGAAATGAGGGAGATTGGTGATTTTTTCAATTAGATATGTCAGAGAAGCTGTGACAGTGACTGATTTTTAGCTACTAGAGAGCAGTGGCTCAGATAAAATTGTGAGAGGCTGGTAAATAAACACGTGAAAGCCAACAATTTTTATGACTAATCTTTAACATTAAAAGTACTACAGAACATCCATTCCCAAAGGCCAGCAGTATGACAGCTACCTTACAAAAAAAGAGAACGGTCTTCAACCTTCACTGCACATCAGAATCACTGCATAGCCTTAAAAAACACTGATATCTCGGGTCCTACCCTACAGATTCCAACCTTGCTGGTTTGCTACCTGGACTTGGGGCTATTTAAAAGCTCTCCAAGTGACTCATAATACACAGCCAAGGTCGAGGACCACTACTGTAGCAATTTTTAACCAGGAATGCACATCAGAATCACCAGGGCAGCTTTTTACCCACATCTAGAAATTCTGATTTAAGCCTGAGGAAATGTATTGGTATTTGTGTTCTGAAAAACTCCACAGGTGATGTGAGGTACAGCCAAAGTTGAGAACCACCAGATGAACTAGCTGGTTTCTCCTGTTAAGTCCTAGGCAACTTGTATTTGTGTTTTTCTTTGCTTATCTGCCTCTCCATTAGCTGGGAGGCTCATGAGGGCAAGAACTGGGTCTATTTCAGCCACCATTCCTCAAGTCTGGTATAGAGCTTGCAGTATAATAGGTGTTCAATAAATAATTCTTAAAGATTCAAATTCATAACTCTAAATTATAAAGGCATTTCTTTAGATTAAAAAAACTTCTGCTTGCCTGGATTTCTGTTTTACCGAAATTTCTACTTTTCTCTTCACACTAATGTGAAATACAACCCCAAATCTGTAATCTATCAGAAGTAATTCATCTTAAACTATGATTTAACACATTTAAAAAGCACTGAAATAAATGCTCTCAAGACTTTCAAAAAGAGTTTTCGCAATAATACCCAAGAACTAATACCCCAGAACTCTATAATTTGCATGTTTAAGTTAAGTGGTTTTGTTCAAACCACTGGCAGTTTAATAACTAAGTGGCATTTCTTAAAATGGTACTTTTAATCTACTGGAATCCAGAATGGGTCAATGACGTGGTGAGACAGTCCCAGTCTGTAAATCCACAGAAAGGCGGGCTCTTACTGGCGGAGGTCATACAGCTCTTTAAGACATGAGAAACTGGGTGCTGATTTCTCCTGGTCACACTTCCCCTGGTTCCTTCTCCCTCGGCCAGATGCCTTCAACTCCTCCACTTGGCTCTGGAGGTGGTCAATGTTGGTCTGCAGGCATTCAATTGTTTCAGTCAGGCTGTAAGGAACAGACAGAAGCCAATTGCCGCTTGTCACATTAAATTAAGGGCAAAAGCAGTGAGGAGAGATTAGGTGCAAGCCACTCAAACTGGGCTTTCTTAATTGGGAAGGACTTCTAGTTAATCTCCGTTCTCAAAGAAGAATTAAGTTAAACTTTACCCCAATATTGACCCAAACAAACAGCAGCCACGTTCTGCTCTAGTTTATACTAAATAACTTCCCCCTGGGGCTTCCTCCATGGATTCTAGAAAATTTACCTCAGAATCTTTTGCTGTGAGGCTTTGCTGTCAGCAACTAGCTTTTGATTTGTTTCTTCCAGTTCTCTTGCTGTGACATCTAATTGCTCATAAACCTTTGCGTGCTGTTCATTCATTTGCCGCAGAAGCTCCACCTGCTTGGTCAGATACTGTAAGAGAAAATTGGGACTAGGTGACACAAACAGATGAGACACCTGCAATGTTCCAACACCAATTCTCTGATTCTCCAACACCAACTAGCGTGGGGGTGGGGGCTAGTGTAGCACTTCCCTCTCTGGGCTCACCACCCTCCCCGCACATCGTGTGTCCACCAACCCAGAAACTCCCTTAGCCCCATTTCAGAGTTCCATGGATGCTTTATCACATAGGCATGAACGATTCAATAACTGGCCACTGGTGAATGAACTCGATCTCCAGTCTCTCTCCCCCTCCAGAGGTTGGGGGTGTAGGATCAATAGTTCTAACGCTTTCACCACACAGCTAGTTCCTCTGGTGACCAAGTCCCCATTCTTATCAGGAAACTGCAAGGCTCTATGCCAGGAACCAGGGACAAAGACCAAATATATAATTTTTATTATATCATAGGCTTATTTTATGAAAAGAACTTTAAATCCCAACTAAACTACCTTTCTTAATAGGAAGCACGCACAGGCTATCCTTTATATCTGTGGTCCCCAGCCCCCAAGCAGTAGCCAGTACTGGTCCATGGGCTGTTAGGAACCGGGCCATGCATCACCGTCTGAGCTCTGCCTCCCCAACCCCCAAGTCCGTGGAAAAATTGTCTTCCATGAAACTGGTTCCTAGTGTCAAAAAGGTTGGGGACTGCTGCTTTATATGCTTAGCTCCCCTAATGTTTACCAATATCCCTGCGTATCATGAGGCTGGTCTAATTTTACAACACACTTATACACAAAATATTCAACAAAAAAATCTAGTGAGACATGATATAATTCCTCCAAAGAAAAAGCATGGAACATGTGATCAAACTTTAAGCAAAAATATCATCTTTAACAGAAATAAAGCTTAAAGAGGAAGATTTTAGATGATTTTCACTTGGAAAAAAATTTTTTTCTTTGAGTGTGACATTCTGGACAAAAAGTACTGAAAAGTACATTGATTTAACCATAAATAGTTATTTTAGCTTAATAACACTTCAAAGACTCCTGTTATTTTTTAATTCTATGAGAATGTTATCAGCATTAACCGTCTTATTTGTGAGAAATTTATTAGATTATTTATTCTGGAGTTCTAAGACTGCTTTGTAAATGGCCAAGGATCCAGGGGAATGATGACAATCTTAACGCTACAGTGCTAAGTCACATTGATTCCCACCCCCCAGCTACCCAAGACACCAAAACACAGTATGTATTTCAAATGAAATATTCATAATATTTCCATGGACATGACCAGAAAGAGGAAAAAAGTAGTCTGAAGCATTACTGATGATCAAATGGTTATAGGCTGAGGATTTGTCTTTAAAAACACTCTTCTTAAGGTTTCTCATACAACTATACAAGTGCTCGCAAGGATAATAGGCTTCTCTAAAGAACGAGCTAAATGATACTCAAAGGCCTCTTATGTAAAGTGTTAAAGTATATATGGCCTTTTTTCAAATCTAGTTTGTTACATAACCCAGCAGCAATGTGTTAAGCAAACATCTAACCTCTCTTTAACTTCAACTTTCATCTAAAACTCTTGGGTGTAACCCCACGGCATTCCAAAAAAAAAAAACAAAAAAAAACGATAAAACTCTTGGGGCCAAAAGTGTTTTGGAAAATTCTTTGAATTTTGGAAAGACAACATGGCACTCATACCTTATACTTTATATCATCACCTATGAGGTTTAGGCAGTAGCCTGTAATCAAGCATTAATATTTCTGCATCAAAAGTATGAACAAAGATTATAAACAGTCTCACATCAATTCAGGTCAGGATTTGCTGCCACATGAATTTGCTGTAAACTTAAAGAAAAAAATCTTGGCTTACAGAGCTTTTTGAGTTAGGAACTGATAATAAGTGAGTATGGATCTATTAGTATCCACCATGTAGAATTGACTGGATTAAACAAGCAAGCACACAGCAGGGACCTGCAGAAGCCTGTATTTATTTTTCACTGCCTCAAATCCCCACCAGCTTCTCTTGGTCCCTTGGAAATCAACCACTAATTCTCATGGGCTAAGCTTTTTCAGAACTATAGGAGTAGGCCCTTAATCCTGTCCTCTGGCTAGCAATGCCATAGTAGGTTCCTGTCACTGATGGGAATGTGTTCAATCTCTCAGGAATATCAGAGTGGAAAAAAGTTTCAGAATCATAGGAATATATATATAATAGCTACAGAAATTGTGCAAGCTATTTTATAAATACAGGCTTCAAGTATTCTTTGGGACTGATTCAGAACAATCTTAAAAAAGGCTAATGTATAAACCAGACACTAATTCATTAATTTATAATAGGAGCTGTTCCTGCCCAGTGACTGGAATACTCACATCCTCTATATAGGACACATCTGCCCCACAAAGGGCATGTGAAAGGCCAATTCATGAATGGAATTCTTTCTGGTGGGCACAGGATCAGAGACAACAGTCTGATGGGAGGCAGTGGTACCACAGCTAAGAGCACACGCTTTGGGGTCAGAATTGGTTTGAAGTCCTGCTTTGCGATTTGTAACAGGGTGACCTTCAGCAAGTAACTTAATTTTTCTAAAATGAGGTTTCCTTATCAACTACCTTAATAACTCTGTAAAGATTATTTTGGAGTGACATATTCTAGTCTCTCCCATACACAGGCTGAGAACAGCCTGGGTGGCATGGTCACCCATTAATAAGCCTTGCTAATTTGCCTTTATCTGCCATTTATTTGCCTTCCTACAAGTTGACACCCCTAGACAAAGTCCTTTTCCTTTGTCTTGTCCCTTCTCTAAAAATTTACCATTCTTTGTTGAAGATGCTTTATAAACTGCAATTCAAATTGCTTTGCGAATTATTCATTCCCTGGGTATCTCCCATTATATATATATATATATATATGACATATAATGCATGTAAATAAACTTCTGTCTTTCTGTTGTTAATCTGTCTTTTGTTACAGGGGTCCGTTCCAACTAAGAACTCAATGAGGGTTGGGAAAAATTATTTTCCCCCCAATATATGCAAATATAATTAATTTATATAAAGGTTAATATATGTAAAGAGTTCAGGGCTGGGTGTTATGGCTCATGCCTGTAATCTTAGCACTCTGGGAGGCCGAGGCAGGAGGATCACTTGAGGTCAGGAGTTCAAGACCAGCCTGAGCAAGAGTGAGATCCCATCCCTACCAAAAATAGAAAAAATTAGCCAGGGGCGGGGTGGTGCGTGCTTGTAGTCCCAGTTACTTGGGAGACTGAGGCAGGAAGATCACTTGAG